TTATATTTATTTATATTAATATAATTTAAATTTTCATCTGAAGGGTAGGCAGTCTTTTTTGCACATAAAATTCAGTATGTTTTATCTTAGTGCCAACACAGTTACAGGGATTCAGAGTTCTCTCCAAAGACTGGCTAGCTCATGTTTTGGCAAGGACAAAAGACACCATTAGGAGGACCTCTATGCCTCAGTTAAATAGGTTGAATCTGGTTTTAAGTTGGTGGTGTTGCTACTACAGTCTGCCTCTGAAAGTGGTAAGCTAGCTAAATGAATTAGGGAAAAATGAATTAGGGAAAGTATTTCCATTTAGGAAGGAGAAAACTGTAGCCTAGCCTTGGACAGGTATTTTGTTGTTTGTTTTAAACAAAAAACAGAGAAGACTCCAGGAGTCGCCTATAAATCTTCATTTAGTTACTGGCTTAATTTTCACACATTCACATTAGGGGTGTGAATTCATTTGCCAACAAGAAGGGATTATGTAGAGGGTGGCTGCTGCACATGGGCTGTTAAATGCCAAGAGGAGTATGGTGGAGATGGGGGAAGGGAAACATTCCACTAATACTACTAAGGTAGAAAATAATGTTATGTCTTCTATGTCACTTTATTTTTCTCATCATGTGGTTTTCTGCAGTTATGTTCAGGATGATGCAAATAAAACTCTTGAAGTGGTAACTGTTTTACTAATTTTTACTTGCCATCTTTCTGGTTGTGAATTATTTACTAGAATTTAACTTAAGAAAAGCCATAGTCTTTTCAGGAGTTCCCTAGAGTGTCTCCTTTCTTTTACATGGAAAGAAGGAGGAGGTAGATTTGTTGCATTCAGTTTTATTTATTAGAAGGACTTTATGTTGGCTCCATTTCTCCCTCTTGTCCATGCCTTGTCTCATACCTAAGGGGATATGGTTTTTGGGATGGAGGCTGCCATCAAGCGTGTGTGGAAGCTGCCACTAACTACAGCTTTAAACAAATACCATTAACTATTTTTCTGATCTGGAAATAATTACTGGCAATGAACTTCTGGGTCTTTTGTCTAAATTTGAAGTATTTTGACTTTGCACATTTTTCCTTTCATTTTTATATTTCAGTAAACCCTGTAAAACACCCAGTACTGGCACCAGCAGTATCGGGTGCAGTGTTAAAAATTTACCATGTTGCTTGACATTTCCCTTCAGTAGTAAATTGAGAGCAAGACATTATTTTCTGCAGATGATCAGATTATTTCTCTGCATGTGTTTATTCTCTTTATTTTAAAGTTATTTTTCATAAAGGAACTTGGTCAAAGATAGATCTTCAAAGAAGGTTTTACAAACCTATTGTAAAATGTATCATAGCAACAGTTGCAAATTCAAACCAATTGAAATGGTGTGTTTTTTGTTTTTTTTTTTTTTTTCTGTGGAATAAGAACTAGATTAAAGTTGGTGAGAAGAAAACAAGTTTGTTCTGGATTACTTTCCTGACGTGACAGTGGAGTTCAGTTGATCGTTTAAGATATTAAGAGACAACACTTCCTGGATATGTGTTAATTTTAAACTTCTAAAAACTTCTAAGAGGGTTAATGAGCACATACTGATTTCCTGTTAAAAAGTCAAGGGGTAATTTGTAAAGAAAACTTACATAATTTTTACTATAATTTAATATATCATTCTTTTCTCCTAGAATCGGAAAGTGATACTCGAGAGATTAACCTGAAAACTTCAGAACTTACCAAATGTGAATGGTGTAGTGTCAGAAAATTGCCAGTAGTTTTCCTACAAACAATACCATCAACCTGTAGTAGCCTGAGAGACCAACTGAAAATGAGTAAAGATAATGTCTGGTACGAATGTAAAGGAGACAGTAAGTAAAACAATTTTAGTCCAGTATTTATTTTAAATTGTGTTTTAATAGTTTGACTCATGAGTGAGTGCACTGAAGACTAAAACTGGCATCACTGACTGGGGCAGATTATTTTTCTTCCTTCCAGATAGTATCATTTTCCCAGCCTGACGAGGAGCACAGTTCAGAAAGGCTTGGCAAAATTGTACAGTCTTGTTTGTCCAGACACATGCTAGTTAAAACATTTAGTCATTTTAGTATAACTTTTTTCTCTGATTTTTGTATTAAATGAAAGCAAGTTGATTTGTTAAGCTTTTGAGTATGGGTCTTCACATTTATGTGACAGCTTTTGATATACTTCTGCTTTCTTTGCTGTTCTGCTTATGGGCTGTAGTTTCAGTAGAAACTGGTGTGTGGGTTGGTTTGGTTTTTTTTTTTCAGATGCCTGTAGAGATGTGATGTAGACAAATACCTGCTTGGAAGATCAGTGAATTGTTTTCATGTATTGTGTATTTAAGTTTAATTTCAACATGGTTTTCTTCAAAAGTCTAGCATCTTAATATGCAAACTATTTTTTAAATTAGCGTAGAGTCTTCTTCCCCTTAAATAAGCTTTTTCTTTAGGTTAGATTTTGTGGTTATACTTTTACTCAGCTTCATAGATACGTGATGCGTTCAAATGGAGGAAGAATGCTTTCAACAATCGCAGAATTGGGCACTTCTAATGTGTCATGTTATTATAATAACCTCATCTGTCTCCTATAAAAAGTATGAGGTGTAAGGAGTCTTACGATTACAAAAGTAATTGGAGACTGTGGAAGGGAGCTACAGATAATCCTGGGAGCAGACATTAGACCCCAGGTGAACACAAGTGTTCACAAGTGAGAAAAGGAAAAGCTTCCTGAGTTGTCGGGGTAGGAAATCTTTTCCTTGTCGTGTCTTTCAGGCTTTCTCTCCACAGCCTTTCCCTTTGAGCCTCTGGCACTGAGCTCGTTTTACACAAAACTACTATTTTTGTACTTGATACTTCTGAGTACTTAGTGTTAACACAGTTGCTATTTACTTTGTGAGCAATTAAAGCCTGAATCCATAGCTGTGTAAGCAATTGTGTGTAAATGCCTAGCTCCCAAATAGGAACACCCAAAATCCAGTTAGACACCTAAATTCTCTGTGCAGTGAATTGGGAAATATGCTTCTGAAGAATTATTTTTCACAACAGTTGCCATGCCAAGTTAAGAATAACAAAAAGGAAATGGTTATGTGTGTGTCTGAAACTCTGCCTTTACAGAAAAACAGGTCCCTGCAGCTCTGAGGTAGCCCGCTATGTGACACTGGGATTTGCAGCCTGAATCCTGTTCCTGTGTCTGACAGCAGAAATAATTCATATAATTATAGAATCATTTATCTTTAAGGCCATCAAGTACAACCATTAACATAACTCTACTGAGTCCTCTGCTAAACCACTTCCTTATAGTCCAATTTACTGATTTTTATTTTTCAGATTATGTGAGTGGCTGTTACTTATACAATAGCTGATGGATCCGACTCACATTCTCCAACTTTTGTTAAAGGTGTAGGCTAGCCTGTTGAAACTAAGCCACTTTACCAAAAGAAATACAAGATTTATTTGGGCTAGCAAGAGTAAGCCCAAGAGATGGCCTTACAGTATTTGGTTCACAGAATGTTCAACCAGAGGTGGTTTTGGGGGGTTTTGTTGTTTGTTTGTTTTAAAATGTTACAGGACCTGAAAGCAGGTCTTTGCTCTTCTAGGTGGTGAAATCCCTTTGCCTCTATAAGGAGATTAAGGTTTTGATTACTGTGACATCTTAAATTCCTTTCCTTGTTCAGATGCGTACTTTTTAGAAAAGAAAACTGCTTGCTAGTGGTCCAGAGATCCTGAAGATATTTCTGTTTCTATGGTAACAGAAATATGATCAGAGAAAAATAACTGTTTTTTTTGTGAAAACACCGTTACAGGGTTTTGTACTCAGGTGCCCAGCAACATGTGCCTAGAATCAGTAAGAGTAATTTTGTTAGAACTTTGTGCTTCTCCTGTGTGCTACACCGTTTGTATCCACTTTTTTAAAAAACGGTCATGCTTATTTTTCCATTTTAAGTCTGGAAACAGTTGTATCAAAGTTGTACCTTTCTTTCCCCACCTCAATATTCTGTTCACTTTGGTTTCTACGCAGTGGTTTAAGTTTTGCATCCTACTTGGTAACTACAGCAAGTTACAGTAGTGTGCGTATATATATATCCATGTAAAAGTGATTCTTATAGACTGTTTTAGCTAAAAGGCTGGGGACCTCTGGGCTTATATATTGTAGTGTCTTTAATGTCTAAAATGCTCAAAACCCAAAAAATATTTTACAGTGTTGCCTTCTAGGATCAGGACAGACTGTGAATCTACCTGAATCATAGAATCTCATATAGTGTTTCTTGTTTAATTTAGTATCTATTATCTTAGTTATCTCTTTTTTTTTTTTTTCTCTTCCCCTTTTTCAATCACATCTATCTGAAAGCAGGAGAAAATCAGGCTGAAATCTTACAAAATAGCATGTAGATGTTGAAGGGGCTAAGCAGCTGAAAGCTGTTTTTACAATAAACATTGAGACCGCAAAGGCCCATCTACATGCTTAATACAGTCCTCCTTTTCTAATAACTTTCCACAGATGAATGTATCTTCACTGATTCTTGAGAGGGCTGCTCTACACTTCTTAGTGTTGACCTGGGAGAAATTAGGGCATGATGTTTCCCTATATAGAGGTGAAATTATGCTGAATACACAGTTTCTGGAATTGTATTGAAATGATAGGACAGAACTGTAATAAGAAAAAGAGCAAGTATTGGCTACAGTCTTCTTACTGGCAGTAAACAGAGAAGCTGTTATTTCAAAACAAGATTTGGCTTTCTATTCAGTGTCTTTTAAAAATTCATCAAGTGTAATAACATTTCTAGGTTTAGACAGAAGTTGAATGCACTCTTTTTGCAAATGCAGGTGGAAGGCTGAAGGATTAACTACCAAACCCTATCTGTATACGTGTATTGCTGCTTCTATATATTGCCAGCAGCGTGAGTGTACGTTGCCCTGCAAGTCTTTGGAATCTGGTTATAATTGTATCACATTTTATATTTTTTCTAAATGAATAATTTTCTCTCTGCTTTTTTTGTAGGTCAAGAAGAACAGTACATCATTTTGATTTTTGAAACTGGTCTTGATCCTCATGCAAACTCAATATTTGAAAAAATAATTACTGACATTGGTATAAGAAATAATATTTCAGACTTCTTTGTGAAAATTTCCTTTGAAGAAGCCAATGGCAGACTTGTTGCATTTACTAAGTGCTTGGAAGACAATTCCAAAGGAAGTCCATCTCACAGAGAAAACAAAATAAAAAATGTAATTATGTTCTTGCTTTAGAACATAAAGTCATTGTGTTATTTGGGTTACAAATACATTGAAGATAGTGTGCTGGTCACTAGACCATAAACATCCTAGCAACTTTGCTGACTTCTGTGTGAGGATTCTCAAACTGGTCTATGGCAGATTATGATATTGTGTGAAATAGTCTTACATTCACAGTACATTTTAGGGTGTTTAGTTTGATTATAAGGTTGTACGTTTGTACACAACTAATGTTGACATTTCAAGATTATTATGGGGCAAGAAATTTGTCCTATAATTAGACAACATAGCCGTTTCCAAACTAATCTACTGGTAAAAGTCTAATATTTCAGAACAGAAATTAAGTTACAGTGTTGTAGTTAAATTTTGTTAATGCTGTCTTTAAACAAAACTCCCTCTTAAAGAATTTGAAATTTCTGTGGCTCTACAAGAAATGAGTACAGACCTAAGTGTAATAAAGGGACTAGGAAAGGTTAAAAAAACCAACTTGGAATCCTTCTCAAAAGCAATGGATATGACACTGCCACATTTCACAAAGCTTTATTACCTTCTATCAGATTTGAGCACAGTATGCATATTAATATTATCTTTATTCTTGTAAGGTTGCTTCTGAGTCCAAAATACAGCAACGAAAGTTACCATATTTTGATGATGATGAAGAAATTGGAGAACCACATACAGTATTTATTGGTCCTATAGAGAAGTAAGAAATTTGTCTTTTCCATGTAAAAATTTTATTAGTTTTTTTGGCATTTCCTATTTATCATTGAATGTATTTTTCTTTCAGGTTGATAGTTTATCCACCTCCTCCAGCTAAAGGTGGTATCTCTGTCACCAATGAAGACCTCCACTGTCTAAATGAAGGAGAATTTTTAAATGATGTTATTATTGATTTTTATTTAAAGTAAGTTTTATTTCACATCAGTTTTTAGTCATTTTTTGCTTTGAAACTTGAAAAGTTCTCACATTAACACTGCATAGGTCAGTTCAGCAATTCATAGTCAGAAACACATGGTTTCCCAGTATGCATAGCTCTTAATTTTAAGTTTATATGGGTTTTTTTCCAAGAAATTTTGATTCTCTTCTCTTCTGCTTGACAGTGACATTGTTCTTACTTGGAAAAAAGATTCTTTAGAATTCTTTAACATCTGAAAAGGAATTTTAACTGCAAGAGGGAGGAAAAAAAAATTAATTTTAAGCTCAGTTGTTTTTTTTTCCAGACTATTTGTGTTTCCTGGAATTTTAATTTGTTTTGATTAACATAATACATAAATTAATTTCCTGATGTCACTGTTGCTACGGATATTAGGAATGTATTAAATTGATATATACTGCGTGTTTATACTGCACATAAGGTGAATATGTATAATTTTCAGTCTATTGAAATAATTTAGATGTGCAAAGAAAATTAATGTATCCTTCCGGGAGCGTTCAGAGATGTAATGGCTCAGTTATGAAATTTGGGTCGTTTGTAACAAACTCATTGAAAATTTGTTTTCCTACCATGATACAAAAATAAACACAACAGCAGAACAACTTGTTGATTGAGCGGACGACTTAATACCTTGAAATATTGACCCATGTATGACATTAATGAGTTTCTCTGGTTAGTTAGTTTTAATAGCCTTATAGCTATTTTGTGAGAGGCTGGAACAGATTGGTGGGGAGGTAGCACTGTTGGCGGTCATCTTTGCTCTGGTGATAAATATTTTTGAGTTAACACCTGCATGAATTTGTAATTTATTTATTTTTTTAACTAATTAGGTATCTGGTACTTGAAAAACTGAAAAAAGAAGATGCTGATAGAATACATGTCTTCAGTTCATTCTTCTATAAACGCCTTAATCAAAGAGAAAGAAGTATTTATGAAACTTCAAACCTTTCGTAAGTCTGTTGAGTCAGTTTTACTAAGAGCTGAGTACACTAGAGGCTACAAGAACGGATGTTTTACAGAGATAATTCTTTATGGACAATATTAGGATATCAGCAGAACTCTAGGAAGCATCCAGATCTATAATAAACATAAATATGCCTTGAAAATCTTACGAAGCTATTAAGGTGAAAAGTACCTGGAACAGTAGTCTGTCAGTTAAAATAAACCACCCTACAAATCATGTGTCGGTTTCTTCTTGCAGAATACAACAAAGACGACACGGCCGAGTGAAAACGTGGACACGGCACGTTGACATTTTTGAGAAAGATTTCATTTTTGTTCCCCTTAATGAAGCGTAAGTAAACATACCTTTTTGTCTCATTCGCATAATAAAAGCTTAACCTTTATTATTGTAAAATTTAATTCGCTATAGTGTGAACTGAAGTTAAAAATTAAGAGGATAAGCATCTTTTTCTAGGTGATAAAAGCAAAATAGTAATATAAGATCTTTAAATGCACTGTTGTATTATTAGGAGTATGGGACAATATGAAGGCTGAACAAAAGTTAACTTTTCTGAGTATTTTTTCTGGGTTTACCTGGTTCTCTGGCATTTGTTCTCCTGAATTGTTGTTGTTGACGACTTTTGGATTTACCTTTTTTAGTCATTTTTATTCCAATGAAATCTCTTTGGTATAGATGAATCATCCTTCAGTTACAATAAACCAGTATCAGAAGAAAATGCAGTTGAAAATCTCTACTGCCCTGTATTTGGAGCTTTATTCTTTTTCTTTATGCCCTTTTGACCTGGTATTTTTCCTAGGTTAGGAAGTAGACTATTAGCATTCTAACGGTTGTTGAGGACTTTTAATGATATTGCTTTCCTTAAGGTCAGAGCAAGTTGTCACAAATGCTTTTCTGCATTTCAGAAAAAGAACCTAAACAGTCCTTAAAATATTTAGGGAGGCTAAGCTACTATATAATAAAGCATAAATAAAGTAAGGGCAGAGAGACAGGAGAATTGCAACTGACCTATAGGCATACCTAACTGATTTTTTTTTTTAATGAAAGAATAGAGGTTTGTTGTTTGTTTAATTGTTTTTAATTAAAAGCGCTTCAAAGAAATTTATCTAGATACCTTGCCATTATGCAGTGGCAGAAGAATTTCTGAGTCTTCTCTTTTTCTGCCACCTCCCCATCTGAATTCTGAGGCTAGCTGTAGAGAGGCAGTTACAAGGTAGCTGACCATAGATCTCTCTGTCTTAAAGTCTTCCCTGAGAAAGCTGTTCACAATCACTGACTTGAGAATTTGAGATGCTGTGACCTCCCTACAGCCATGGGAAGGCAACCAGTCCTTAAGTATTGACAATGGCTTCATGTAGGAAATTCTTCCTGTCCACTGCAGACTTCATCCTTGCCATCCCTCTCCCCTGCATCTTTAAATACTTGAACTTTGAAGCGTCTTTCACGTAACAAGCTCTAAGGCAACTGAAGTTTATATAGTTTACTTCTCACTATCCTGCCTTGTGTCAGTCTCACATCTCCATTGATTATGCATAGGAGAAATGAGACTGACCATGCTGCAAATGCCAGACAGCATGTCTTAGAATTCACTTGAAAATGAAACAAAGTAGTTCTGTGGTTTTACAAGAAATAGATATATTGCTAGTAGTTTAGCACAGTGTTTTTCACCCTCTTGTTCATTTACTGCTAAGCAGCTGAAAAAATGTCTGCCTTAGCAAGAAGTGCAGCTCAGTCAGAGTAAATTTGCAGAACAAAAGGCATGATGGTCACACCATGGGTCAGGAATTTTGCTTAGGACTAGTTTAGTCTCATGGAGTCAACCAGTAGTGAGTAGAGTAGGGGAGGTGCACTCTTGGTGTGCATCTTTCCTCTGGAAGCAATGCTGGTCACACTTGTCAGAACTGTCCTTTGCTGCAGACTGAGACTGCCAAGTGGTGATAGTGGGACATGCATTTGCAAAAGTGGTTTCCTGGTATGAACAATAAGAACATTAAAAAAAGTATCTGGGGAGATGAGAAGGTGGTGGTTTGGTAGGAGAAGCAGGCTGGGGTTTATTGTTGGGTTTGACCTGATTTCTGGCAAAGCAAGCATAAATGAGATCTTCAGTGTATTTTTTTTCAAATATGTTGTTATTAGCTGCTAGTATTTTTCTTGGATGCACCTTTCTATTCTCCCCTCAGAGGTCTCACTTCCCTTGTCCCCTGAAACCCAGGATTCAGTTTTGAGGAACAAAAAGCAGAACCTCTTGGGGGCAAGTTACTAACATATTTAGGAAAAAGTCAGTGACTTGACACTTTTATACCTCCATTATCATGAGTAATTGGTATCACAATTCAGAGAGCGGCCTGGGGAACTACCTGGGGAAGAACACAGAAACTGGCCAGTATGAAGGCTTCTATGCCTCTGTCCTAGTAGCAGAGCTGTCACTTGCTAACTGTATCCTTCTTCCTTGTGTTGCCATGACACAGAAGAACAGCAGGTTTTATCAGGCTACTATATATTTGACTGTTCTTTTCCATACATTCTTGTGTTTCAAAATTGGTCAAGAGCATAGAACTGGAGCAATTTTAAGTTACTTTTTTCAGTAAAAAATGTTTGGCTGGTTACTTTTTTCCAAGTATCTGTCTTAGTTTGATACGTAGCTCTTGTCTTTATGTTGAACTGACATGTAAATGCTGTTTTATTTTCATTAACTTCACTGCAGTACCACTTAAAGTGTTAGCCTATCTGATACAGAACCAGAAAGTTTTACTTTTAGAACTAAACATACTGCTAACAGTATCAGTTAACAACAAGTATCAGTGCTGATTTTTGGTTTTTTAATGACAAAATACTAACATGAAGGATTTCTGATCTGACTAGCAAATACACCATAGGGCCTGTTTGTGTAAGTTACAGCTTTGGGTAGTACTCTGTAGCTGTGTATGTAATGTTTTAGGAAATACATAGCTCCTGGATTTTGTCTGTTAATAGGACTGTGAAAACTTGCTTCATTAGGGTATAACTTCCACCTGCTTGGTCTTCAGCTGTCTAGTTGTTTGTTTTGGTTTTTTTTTCCTTGTGTTTGTTTTTTTTTTTGTTTGGTTGGTTTTTTTGTTTGTTTTGTTTTTGTTTTTTGTAAAAGGGGCATTGCCTCATAATGACAAGGGATTAGTGAAAATGCTAGGAACAGAGAGAACCAGTGATGAGGAAGGAGAGGCAGTTAATGCCTGTGGTGTGTAGAGAGCAAAGTTTGTGCCATTTAGTGTAGTTTTTGGACAGCCTAGTTTTCAGAATTTTTTTCAACATGCCTTTGCCTGGACATCTTTATGTGCAACCTAATGGAGTGTTAAAAGGCTTTCTTCACCCACTTCTCTTCAGTTTACTCCTTGTCTTCATAGATTGTGATTGTAGAACTCACATACCACTTTGAGATGTCTGGACTATCCCAGTGTTTGCAGCTTGACACATTGCAGCACTGCAGGTGGTTTTCAGGAGTTTGCCACCTGCTTTGATGCTGGTAATTAGTCCTTATAGACAGAACTTTATGTGAGATGATAGCAGATCAAAGGTACGGATGAGTTTCTTTGCTTCTAGTGAAAGATCTGTATTCATTACTATTTATAAAAGGTCTCAAACCTTAATCTGTGGCAAAATTAGTCTGGTTGAGAACAAGTCTCAGAGTTTCTTTCTCTTTGTGTTTTGAATTAAGTAGTATGTGAAACAAGTTATTCTAGTGTTTGAGAGAACTTGAAAGCTTCTCTCGCATTAAAGAGTGCTGCTAATGGTTGCTCCTGATAATACTTCTCCTGTGATGACTGGAATATTGCCTTTTTTTTTTTTTTTCTTTCCTTTTAGGACACAGCTAGTTATTCTGGCATCTGGTTTAAAAATATGTTCTTGAACTGATGGCTTTGGAGTTGCTGGACTTCAGTGTCTACTTCCAGAAAGTCTTTCCAGACTCTCCCATGACCACTAGTATAGGGAATATACTATCATAGAAGATCATAATATAATATCAAACTGCAGTAACAGGAGGTGGACAACTTCAAAACAATATGGCTGATTTAACTGTGACTGCATCAGTGTCCTTTGGCAGTACAGTCCTTTTTGTTTAAATCTCCAATAGAAATAGGTTGTTCTTTTAAAAGTTACAAGCTCTTGTTTCTTTTAGATCCAGGTTAATTTGCTAGTCTATCTACATAAAGCCTATTTTAGTTGAATGCACACAAATTCTAGAGTTTGGCCATTATTGATACATTAATTTATTAGGTGTGGTGAATCATTCAAGACAAAATTCCTCCATACTTCACATGCTGCTTTCAAAGTCCACTTACTGTGCCACTGAGTTTCCATGGAATTTAGATTTCAGTCATCTAATTAATTTTTAATAGGTCAGTTAGACATACAGTTTCAGCTATTGCTTTTGCTTTTCTCTGAAACACACAGAAATTTGGTTTCCCTTGTGTAATACATAGCAAGGTTCTGTTTTGTTATTTGCTGTAGGGAATCGGGGAACCTTCAGAATATTTCTAAATCAGGCCAGTTGATACCTACTTGCAGTGCCTCAGTCCCTGAATTTGCTCCATTTCTGATTGTGTGGCAAGTCAAGGATGTCCAAAGAGGCAAGGAGATAGAGGAAACTGGGGTAAAACTTACCTCCTATCTTACGTTATATAGATATAACTATTATTGATCCTGAAGAGTGTCAGTCCTGTGAAGAGGAGGAAAATAGAGTCATGGTGATGACATTACAGACACTCTTTTATCCCCTTTTTAATTCACTGTTGACAAGATTTCTTACAAAAATGTTAAGTGCCATACACAGTTGGAAGGTCTCACAGGTTGAAGCATATGAGCAATTCAGCCATATCATTAGATGTGAATTCTTGTGTTGCCGGTGCTGAACTACTAGAAAACTTTATACAGCTACCGAACATGAACTCTGTAATCTCTAATTCATGCAGTGATAAAGCAAATGTTAAAAAAGAAATAAGCTTTAATTCAAGTAAGGACAAGAATGTACAAAGTATGAGCAAATGGAATAATAGAAATAAATATTTAGACAACATCTGTTTTCAACTAATTGCATCATATTAATGAATCTGTTTGTGACTGCATGCATGGAGTGATCTTATCTTTCAAGAAGACTGTGAAGGGTTGAGTAAAACCTGCTCTGAAGAATGAACATCTATTACAATAAATCTTTAATAACTTTGGGGGATGGAATTTGTTTTCTTTTGCATGTGTATGCACACGCACTCAGCGATTTGTTTGGTTCTTACCAACTTCATTGCTGGTTTGTAATGTATATTTTTTCCTTTGCAGTGCCCACTGGTTTTTGGCTGTCATCTGTTTTCCTGGTTTAGAAAAACCCAAATATGAACCAAATCCCCACTATCATGAAAATGCTGCAACACAGATAAAATCTTCCTCTTCAGATGGAGAGAGCAACGCACCATCTTCTTTGCCAAATGAGTTAGATGCACAAAACTCGCCTTCCAAGTCCACAGCAAAGAAGACATTGACCAAAAAGTATATTACAGCTTTAATTGACCCAAACACTGAAACAGAGGACAGTGAGCCTTCGTGTTGTAGACGAAGTCCTTATAGGGGAAAAAGTGCTTTCAAAAAACTAAATCAAATAGACAGTGATGTGGAAGAACCTAACACTGTGGAATCAGCTCGCCATAAACTAGACCATAGGACTCCAGACGAAAATGGTATACAGGGTGAATTCACAACTGCTAGCCAATCTATGGGTATGTAATTGTAAAAATATACACTTTTTAATGAAAAATTTGGATATTTTGGATCTGTTACTACTTTTGCATTTGTGTAAACTTTTTAAGTTTAGTATGTGGCTGAAGTTGGAGTGCTTGCAATGTAATTTGTAGCCAGTATGTATAAAATTTTTTTGTGGCTGTTAATGTAACTCTCATGGCAGAAGGCTGGATACAAAAGTATCTTCCTAAAACAGATTGATTTTTCAGTTGTGTGGCCTTTTTCACACAAAATCATTTTGTAGATAGCATTTTGCATCACTTAAATCTGTAATTGTTAAGGAAAGAGAGTTAGTTGGCTGTGGATCCTCATAGTGCATGTGTATGGGGGAAGTGAATTAAAATAGTGTGAGCAACATTAATTCCAGCATTTTCTAGCATTTGAGGTTTTCCTTCAACACAGCTAAGTTCTGTAATGTTCTGATAGAAGGTGTGTAAAAAGATAATAATTTTTTAACATTATAATTCTCTTACATGACCTCAGTGTTACATTTGGAGAGGCTTTCTCCATGTATCCCTGCTGTGGAGGCTGATTTCAGTTATCTGGAACAGCATTTATACCAAAATGAACAAAGGAGCTGACATTCTTATAAAGGTTGAAGGAATTAGGAAACAGTTGCTTTCTCTGCTCATCCCAAGGTTTGGGTCCCTTTGAGGTCTAGAGTACAAAACATATGGTCATGCAGAAACTTTTACTTTAGTCCCCAGTTTACTGATTTAATTTACACAGTAAATAATTGCATAGCTTATAGTACAAGATCTGAGAGGGTTATCAATCATACAGTCAAATCTAAACTGCAGGCCATTACAACTTTAGTAATCTACGGGTAAAAACACTCTCCTAGTTTCTAATGTAAATTTATTCATTCGTGATAACTTTGTCACTTCTCCTGAGAGGCCTTGAAGGGGGTTGGTGGTCTGTGTAGATCTACTCCTTTTTAAATTCATCTTATGTGTGATGTTACTGTTCATGATATGGCTGCTGTATGATGGTTTCATGTGTCTTGGATGCTGCAACTGTTACTTGTGTGTGATTAGGTGGAACCTATTTTATTACATTTTTGATAGGATTACTTTTTTTATGGCTACATTGTATTGGTGGCTCATGGTCATTTAGTTGCTGACTAAGATACTCAGATTCTCTTGCTCAGCTGTTGCGGGTCACACGCCTTTTCGTTAACACAGACATTCTTATGTCACAGACCTAGTTGAAGGGCAAGATTCAATTTGAGATTGACACTAAGCATGTATTTAGGCAAAAAAATTCAGATGCACAGTGTATCCAAATGTCTGTTTCAACCAAATTGAAAATGGGGATGTAGCCTTTGGGTTTTCTGCCCAGCTTTAAGCTGTTCCTCCAGAAGGGTGTGGGTTTTGACTCTGAACTCTACCAAATCCATATGTGTGTCCTAGATATCCTAGGATATCTCAAAAGACTGCAGAGGCCTCTTTGATAGTGTAGCTAATGAAACCTCTTCTCACCCTACAGCAGAGATAGAGTAGCTGCTCAGTTGAGTAGTTCTCTGCTCAGATTATGGTGTCCATTTAACACTGTGAGACCCTAGATGCCTACTATACGTGGGAGTCTAAACTCAGATACCTTGATCTTAGACTACATCCTGGTGTTGGACTGGTAAATAGTAGGAGTTGATACCTAAATAACTTTGAAGAAATCATTGTTATAAAAATTTTTTTTTTAATTATTCTTACTTAACTAATCCTTTTTTTATTGCTCAGTTCTTGTATGAGAGGTGATTCTTCTTTATACTGATTTTTATATTTTGGTAATCTGTCAGCACTTATTCACATTAGTGTATGGCCTACTTCTTGCACTAAGGTCTTTTCAAAGATAGCAAGTAAGACTGCTTCCCAGGTTTGTCCCTGTGGAACTCCACTGGTAACCTCTTTCCAAAGTGTTACTTCAACTTCTCTGTTGAAGTATTCTCAAATGCAGGCCTTCTCCATTTTTTTTCCCATTAGCTGGGTCATTGCCCTATTTACTGTTCTTAGCAAAATCCTGGTTTTCTTTACTAAGATGTCCTCCAGTGACACCATAACCAACGTTTCTAATTTTGTGATTGTTTAGGTACATTGTATAGCCGCCTTCTAGAAGTGTGATCATGAAGGTTTCAGGTTTTGCCTGGCATGAGTTATTAATTTCTTACTTACTCCCACATAGTTATTTTTCCCCTCAAAATCTGTTCTAAGGTCCTTTATGGTAGTATAGTAAGAGCTATGAGCCAATAGCTGTCTGTATCTGCTTCTTTCACAGGTACAGCCCTAACATTCGCTGTTCTTCATTTATTCTGACTCTGTTTCCCAAGTGACTAAATACATAGAGGGGGTGGAGAGTGAATTTACAGACACTTTTTCTAGCAAACAGTGAAGTTTTACAAACGTTTTGAAGCTGCTGCTTCCAGAAGAGCTGGTCCTGCATTCTGCCATCCCTAGCACCATGTTCCCAAGCTGCTGTTTCCCTTTTACAAGCACAAGTCTTCATGTAACTGCACAGTAAATGGGATCAAGGAAATTATTCAAGTTAAAAAATGAGCTTGTGACTGACTTTCTCAGCGTGTTCTGCTGTGTGTGGATGTCTTTGATGTCATGGAAGGAACGAGCTAGGGATGAGAATACACAGTTATGTTAGGGACCCAATGAGACTGCCTCTTTTGGTAGGGGCACAAGTTTATACTGTTGTAGAGACTTCATGGAACTACAAGGTAATTTCATGGTGGGTTTTAGTGTAGAGCTCTAGATTTTTTTTTTTAGGCATTTCATGGAATAAGGAACAGTTTCTGCAGTGTTACTTAGAAGAAACTTTTCACTTTTGATCATATGTATGAATAAAATATTATGGCAGCTGTATCACAGTTATTGTGAGCAATCCTGAGCAAATCCGGTGTCTTTAACGTTAATTCGGTCTTTGAAAATGATGTAGTAGTTGATGTTTAAATATACTACTGTCTGTGATTGATACAGATGGATTGCACAAAATCAGGCTAAACTATAGTGAAGACTCGGCTGATGGCAGTAAACTAAATGAAGATGAGCTCATAGATTTTTCTGAAGACCAAGATAACCAGGTAAAGAATTTAGCACTTTTATTTAGGAAATACAAACTGTTGTACTGTATTCTGAATAGGCAGCTTAAAATTGTAACTCTGCCAGTTATCTTTGCAAATCCCAAACCCAAAGCACTGGTTACCTATGAAAATTTGCAAATTACCTGACTGGAGAGGATTGTGCATTCATTTGTATTTCTATTGAACTGTAGAACAGGAAACTGCTGTGCTAATCCTGCATTTAATTTTGTGAGTCTTCTGCACGGTGACAATATTACACAATGATTTTAGTGGAAACTCTGAAAAGTCAATGCCTTTTTTTTTCATCTCCCCCCCCGCCATGCTCATCTGCCAGCCCAAAGAGAAAGTAACACTTCTTTCAGCTGCATTTCCTAGACATAAAGAGACACATTGATAAGTAGGTGCTACTGCGCTGTTGTGTTTCATTGGTGTTTCTCCTAATCAAGTATTAACAACACAGAGTTATAGTCAAGTAGTGTTCTTGTTCTGATATTTAGATTTTAGAGCTGTGGAAAGACTGATCATTGAAATATCCTCACCACTGGGGATGAGGGCTTTATTCCATAGCCCTGGTGCTTCTGCCAGGGAAGCTCAATGTGAGCAAGCTAGGAGTTAACAGCTGCTCTTTCTAATTGCCCTTCCTGTCCATGTTTCAGGAGTATGACTCCAAGTTGTCCAAAATAAAGAATCAGAGGCTATCAAATACATAATGTAGGAATTACCTGCTTTTAACCTTTCAGTCCAGAACAAACAATTATTTTCCAAAGTCTGCAGCTATTTGTAATGACTTCCAAATAGTATGTATATGTGTGTACACATATAAAAGCTCGTTTATGTTGAGACTAAACTATGCTTTTCATGCAGACTCGGCACACCTCTCCTGCTGTGCCACTTGCCCAAACATTCTGTGATTCTCACCTGAGGGAAGTGACTTTCTGTCTATTTTGTAGCAGTTAGAACTCCCTGGAAATGGGGAATGAGTAGTAGAGTGTTTTTGTGATCTGAAGTGTACGTTATGAAGGCAAGGAAGAAAGCACATGGCCAGCTGTGTTCCTTGGAAGGACAAAAAAAGTTCTGTGGTTGCAGTGTAGCTTAGAACTTAACTCAGGCTGAAGCCGTCACTGATATCTTCTAGACTGCACAAAGCACGTGTAGAAATGTTAGACCATGACAGGCTGAATGCACCTTCACATCCGCCAAAAATGTAGTGGAGGGTGCAACAGAAACAGGTGTACTAGGAAGCAACATGTTAGGCAGTAGTTTCTAATATGATAACATCTTTGTAGCATAGCATGAGGGTTTCAGTTGTACGAGCCTGTGTGTTAGTGAAGTGCACATAAATCTTACCAAAAACTTCAGAAACTGTGCTGATAATGGACGTTCTTGTTTTTGGAAAGCATCTCCTAACACAATTGTCTGTGGTAGTAACAGTAAACTCAGTAGAAGAGTAAGAACCATGGATCATACTGTTATTTTTAGATAGAAGAACTTAGTGTTTTTATTCATAAAACTTGAATATCATTCAAAGGATATTCCCACATGTGTGACATGACACTTTTTGCAACCCGTGATATATAATAGCTTGGTGGTTTCATTTCCCTTGCCCTAAGAACCAAGTTGGTGCATTCTGGAGCAAAAAACAAATTTTACTTCTGATTTCATTGCAGATACTGAAACATTTCATGTAGGAGATAACATATATGAAACTGCCAAGCAAATTTCCAGTAGTCTTTAGCAGAGGAAAGTATTGATAATATGGTTTATAACCAGATAATGGAGATACACCTCTTAAGCCAACAATGCTCTGAAAATATCAGTGCAGCTTTTTTTTTACTTCCAGCAGTTGTTTGCTCCATGTGGTTCCAACATGGATTTGAGAAACTGTGTCACTAAAAGCTGGTAATGCCGACTTTACAAACAATGTATGGCTTCAGATTAAAGCTACTACTTCTTTATTAAACTTATGCTATTGTTCTTGAATAAAAATGATAAGTATAGCAATAATTTCTTTTGCAACTTTTTAAAAACCAGTATTGGCTTTTAAACACCTTTAAACATGTTGCTTCTGTAGGAAGACAGTAGTGACGATGGTGGCCTTCTAGATGATGCCTGTAATTCAGAAATGGGAAAATGGCACCTGAAGCCTACTATCTGCAAACAGTAAGTATTAAAATAGCTGAAATGGAAATCTCATAAATTTTATGAAATTTGAAAGACAGTGATTACGGGAAATGTTCATATATCAGTCCTTCAACACTTCAGTGAGCACGTTGTTACTGTTTGAGAGAGAATTTTATACTTTGTAGTATCATTATCTTCAGGGAGCTGAAAATTTAATGAATGAAACCACAAGTGCAAGAACACTGCAGGAGTAATAAGCCTCTGTGCTGCTTTAGGCAACTGAAGATTAGTTCTTAAAATAAGGCTATTCTTTGATATTTTGTACTTCGATTCCTACAAAAGCAAGGTGCAGAAGCGTGTTTCAATGTATCCTACATATTTTTAAAAAACTTTAAATAATTATATTAATACTAATTAAAACCTTTGTCAGCACGCAAATTAGTACAGGAAAATGGGAATAATTTTAACTGTCCCCATTTCTTATCTGTGTTCTAGCTCTTTATCCTTACTGTTTCTTTCTGTTCTTATTACTTTCCCCCCCCTTTCTGTTCTTAGCATTATTCTTTTTTTCGCTAATAAAAATGTTCTGCAATACTAAGTTCAGTTATTTTTTTAATTTGTTTAATTTTTTGCCTGTTTTTGATTTTATAAGGTGCCTTTTTTTTAAAAATGTTTCAAACCTAGAAATTTTTTGTTAATAATCACTGATTGCAGTTGGTTGCATCTTGGTGTGAGAGAAGTGTGTGGTTTCCAATCTAGAAATATTGCTACTAGTATTTCTGCCTTCACAATTTTGTTTTTATTTTCTCACAATTTATTTATCCAATTTTTGTGTTTCCTTCTTTGGGAATATAATGGTTACTAGGAAGGCTTTTACAACATATTCTTATGGTGCAGGATAAAAATAAATATTTATACATGATATGGAATGTGTATGGATTCTTCTTAATACATTTTCATGAAGGGGTAAAAATCCATTCATTATGTGAATTTTAAGCATATTTATGAGCTTCTGTTTATAGCTTTCCTAAATTTGTCCCATTCTGATCATGGATTATTGTACATAATACTTTCCTCCAGACACTATTTTAATCCAGACACGACATTTCATAAGGGCTTTGCCACTTAGGTATCAAAAGTCATTAAGGGCACTTAAATACTTTACCTGTAGCATATTTTAAACTAATTCTATATGAAAGAAAATTACCTTGAAAAGGCTTTCGCTTCTTTCCCTCTCCGCCCCGCAAAGTACCAGACTGCATTTTCAAAGAGCATTGCCTGTTTAAAGAATAACCTTATCAGCAATTAAAACAACTACAAGCAAAAGCAAGCACTATTCGCATGATGATATGCTTATCCCTTAAAAAGTTGCATGCATGTAAAATAATTTATAAATGCAGACAAACCCGATAATAAATGCATGCAGATAATTTGTCTGAATTTATTGGTTTGCTGTTTCTGTGAAGGACACCTTGTCTGAATGTGTTTGTGTCCTTGTTAGACAAGAGAAAGCAGAGTCTTGTGAAAAATAATTTGCCTCCTGTTTATCCCTCAAAATATATCTTACAGTCTGTGTTGGCTTTGATGTATAAATCCAGCTGCTGCACGTCAGGCAGCTGATGTGATTGTTACATTTATAGCACTGCAGAAGTGGAATCCTCTAGGTCACGTGATAGGATGTAAGCATCTGTAGCGTGCAGCAGTGTTCAGGCAGACTTGGTTCTCTAGGAAATAGATGGTGGCTACATAGTTTTTCTGAAGTCTGTCAAAGCGGGTACGTGTGTGTTTTAGAACTGTCAGGTAGATGTCAGCTTCATTGGGTACTTCTTGAACTTATATATTTAGTGATTTCCCAGGCTCTGCAGGCTGTCCCATCTGTTTTCCAGCTGCTGCTGCTCCAGAAGGATGTTTATGGTCTCTTGCCACCATCTCAGACACCTGTGCATCTAAAAGAGCACTGGACACCTGAGGGGGCCATAGGCAGCTAGCTCTTGCCTGTAGTGAATGCTTTCAGTCTGACAGTACTGTGTTTTCTAAGTGTATTCTGATGTTCTCTGTACTACATGTTTTTTTTTCATTTATCTAAAGATAAATTTGCATTTAACTATGCCAGTTTAGGGGGATTATAGCAGCTCTGGCAACACTTCATAGTATTGTTCAAATTACCTCATAGTGAGCTAGCTCTGTAACATTGTGTTTTTCCAAACTGCTGTAAGACACTGTGTACTTAAAAATTGTGTTCTCTCTTAGGCCCTGCATTTTGCTTATGGACTCGCTAAGAGGCCCTTCCCGCTCAAATGTTGTGAAAACACTAAGGGAGTAAGTTTGCTCTGTGGGTTTTTTTTTGGGGGTGAGGGGGAATGTGTGAGGGGTGTTTGTTCAGGTTCTGAGTTGTTGGTGTTGGGTTTTTTTTGTTGTTTTTTTTTTTCCCCCAAATTCTACAAGAGAACAAAAGTTTGAATTCACATGGTCTTTTTATCGTAGATACTTAGAGGTGGAATGGGAAGTCAGGAAGGGCAACAAAAGAAGCTTTTCCAAAGATGTCATGAAAGGTTCCAACCCAAAAGTGCCACAACAGAACAACTTCAGTGATTGTGGAGTGTACATACTGCAGTATGTGGAGAGCTTTTTTGAGGTATGTATACCTCTTTGCGTGGCTACTTTTGGAGGGGGTTTTCTTGCACAATCAAATATGAGCTATTAAAATTATTATAAAAATAAAAGGCTCTCTTGTGTAGCTCTTACACCTATTTATTAGATTATGTGTTACAAACTAATCATTACATTAACATATATGGTAACTGTTTTTGGAAAATAAACTAACTATCATTCTTAGTTGTGCATACATATAAGAAAATGGAAGCCATGAAATTTTCTGAGAGAATGGTTAGAAAATTACTTAGAGTCTTCCTTGGTATTCTCATAGTGCATACCCTTTAGAATTATTCAGTAAGAAACAGAGTTTATATTTGAATGCAAAATCTAACCTAAAGTTGTTGTACAAAAAGCTTGTTCCTTTTTCCCAGTGAAATGTGACTTTGAATAAATTAATTCATACGATCCAGGTAGGTTTTTGAACTTGCACTAGAACTCCACTGGTGTAAGTGGAGTTATTACAGCTGAATGCCAAATCATGATTCCATTGAAGAAATGGACTGAAATCTTATTTACTTTAACGGTCTTGGTGTTCAAGTTAGAGACCCTGTCGCAGGTGGAGGCATTAGCCCCTTGAGGTGTGGGCTGGGAGGATTGATGGTCAGGTGAGATTTTGCCTGCCTGGGACGCTGCCTGTGTCTGCAGCCCGCAGTGCTGGGGAGCACGGCGCCTGGCTCTGCTGTGGGGAGCCCCTCCCGAGGGCGGGAGGTCTCCTCCGGCTCCTCCAGCGAGGCTGGGGCAGGGCGCGCTCATGCCCATCGCAGCCAGAAGCTTTTGCTGTACAGACCAGTGAGCCCCTGGGAGCTCAGCACCGTCCTCGGGTGCCTCCTGATTCGTGCGCGGGGAGCCCCCCACTTTGCGGGGCGTCCGGGCTGCCGGGGGCGCCGCTCCCTCCAGCG